GAATAATAAAATAAATCTGTATAATTGAGACGAATGAAATATTTTTTTTCTCAAGGAACGTGGCTCAAACAAAGCCTTAAATTAGAGACGCGGTTGGTGCGAAGGGTAGATTTGGTGGTGGGGACTGGCGGAAGCTCAAATTCAGATAAACCAACTGCACGCAACTCCACGCGCCGCCCTTAATGGCGTTGCAGCTCTCAATATCTTCGACTCCTAAAACGACGTTTCTTCTGCGTCCCTCTCCTTCAACCTCATCCGCAACTGGGATGCCATCGACGGCGTCTTATTCAAAGGTTCTGTTGCTGCCTCTCAGAAGCACTCGCGCTCGGATTTCGACACATGGACGGCGGAGGTCATGGACTGTGCGTATGGCACCTGATGAAGAGAAGATGACTCGTCGATCCCCTCTTGATTTCCCAATTGTAAGTCCCGCCGCCTCCTTTCGTCTTTTCTGAACTTGCTTCATCAAACACTATACTGTTTTTTTTAAGTTTTTCAGACTTCTGCTTTTATTGAATTGCTGATTTAAATTATCTATTGATACAACTTTTCTTTGTGATCGATGAAAAGGTGAGGAAAAACAGAAAAATTTAGAAATCAAAAACTGTAGAAGAATTGAATACAGTAATTTAGAAAAAAAATCAAATTCACTGAAACGATAGTGAGAGTGTGCTTGCTGTGAATTGTTTACATAATCATGACATCTCGAAAGAAAAATATTTCTTATTAAGCTTGTACATTGAGAAAAGCATAAGAAATAACTTTGGTGTTAACATTTCAATTCAAACAATTTGGATAGTCTAGAGCGGAAGTATAAGAAATCAACAGTTCCACAAATTTTATAAAGAAGATATAATCTTAAGTTGGAGCATTAATTATGGTGGACAAGCAGCACTTGGTGCCGCAGTTGTAGGGTTGCAATGCAATTGAAGTGTTCCTTATATCTCTGTGTTACAACTTTTACTGCTTCAGATGACTTGGGAAATCTCATTATGTTGTTGGCCATGCCGTGAAGTTTTGAGTATTACCTATGAAATGAGATATGGTCAAAAAACAGCTGCTACGATGATAAATGGGAGTTTATATGTTTGGAATATGAAGTGATTAAAAGGTTTTATATCAAATGTATGCGTTTGGGATCAGTATAGTCCATTTTACTCCTAAATTTTGTTGAATCATAGTTAGCCTTCATGGTGGGTCTAGCACTTAACTGACATCCATAACCGGCACACACCACATTTTGGGTCCACTAGAGTGATCCAGGATGGGTTGTGTCTGTATTTGTCAATAACTAATTGGGGATACTCAAGGTTGGTCCTGTAACATTTAGGCAATTAAGCTTCCATATCTTTGCTGTGTCTTTGATCAGAAGAAAATCCTCCTTTTACATGGTGAGAATTGCATGAAGGTGTAATTAGCTTAGTTCTTAAGATGGATTATGTCATACTTTTCCTCTGTCTGCTGTTTCCTCCCAATATCCCATATATCTCTGGCTATATTTATTTCTTTGTGAATGCTGTTCTTTCTCTGTTGCTCTCTGTAAGACTCATGGGAAAGCACTCAATTCTACTTGATACTTGCAAATCAGATGTCAAATTATCTAACATATACATTAAAAAAAAAAAAAAAAAATGCTTTTAATGCTCCTATTTTTCGTAATGTGAATTTTGAGATACGTGGTCGGTTTATTTTGATAAAGAATTTATTGAATAACGCGGTAATCTGTAGTTTGATAAACTTAAAATCGTTACTTACAATGGGGGAAACCTATCATATTGGCATGGTTTTTAGCTTTGTTTACCAGCATGATAAGGTGGATATAGGACCCTAAAATTTCCTCATTCTCATGCTAATGTCTTGGGTTCTCAATATGATAATTTAACAGATTTTACAATCATTTTTTGCAAACATATATCTGACATTACGTAGTCTATGTTTTGCTCATGTTTATGAGATGTTTATAAATACTCAAGCCACTTTTAACCGTACATTTCAAGGGACCTACTAGTACTACCCACTTATTCACTCATTTCTATCTATTATAATTTAAACCGTTTATAAACACTTTCCATGGCTGCTAGAATCTTGAGCAGGGTATTAAGATTACCCCTGGGTTTGTGGTAACAAGGTTTACATCATTATATTTTCATCACTATACCAGTAAGTGATTTTAATGGTTCCCTTACAACCTTCTGTATATTACTGTATTACTCTTTTAAAAGTTTTGGTGTATTTACCTTGTACAGCCATGAGAAATAAATGTTAAAAAATTCTGAAGTTCACAAATATTTTGACCCTTGCAAATAGAGGGTTAGTTTCAGGCTTTGGATAGGTTGAGTCAAGGTAAGAGTTGAACCTCGTTAATTGCATACAGGTACAATTGATTCATCAATCTTTCCCCTTCTTTTCAGTTAATATTTTCATGTTAAAGATAATTAACCCTGTATTGTCAATCCCTTCCTACTGTGTTTAAACAAATATTGTTATGCTCATTAAAAAGTTCCGTTTCAACACTATTGTAACAGGAGTGGGATAGGCCGAAGCCTGGACGGAGGCCTGACGTATTCCCCCAATTCAGCCCAATGAAAACTCCATTACCACCACCAATGCCAGCTGACCCTCCAGAAGAAGATGAGGAGGAAGAAGAAAAGAAAGAGGAAGAGGAGGAAGATCCTGAAAAGCAAGACCCTGACAAGCCCGATCAATAATGTCAATTGGTAGCGGTTTGAAGAAGCCAAGGAGGATTTCTTGCGACATCCTACAGAGCTTATTACCTGCAGCTTATCTACGTGGGCAACATACCACAATGGTATTAATAAGCTTGAAAAGGAGATTATGAGATAATAGAAAACTCTCTTTTTACAGGGTCTCTCTCTGTTTTGTAGTCGAAATTACCTTTGTTCACATCCTTGTCTTTTAAAGTTACCTAAGAATTAGTCAATATTTTCCGACTTCCCCCTTTTCTTTTTTCTTTTTAAATTTACAGCATCTCTTACCCTGTCATATACATAACCTTTGATGGTCATGGACATGAGTTTTGATGCCTCGATGAATCCCATTTTTAGACGTCCCGATTATGAAATTCCAAATATACAGTTGCATTAGAATTCTAGTTTCGATGAAGTAGAGCACTGACAACAAATTTTAAGTTTATATAACGTTACTCCTGCACATTGTGTTTTCCATGTCAATAAACCTGATACCTCTGTTTTCGAGCAATATATCTTTCTATTTTGCAGAAAAAGAGGGATGAAAACGTCGACATTTTTTAAAATTGCTAATTAAGCGACCCCTTGTCCTCCTTAAAATCTATGCTAATTCAGGCAAAACAAATTGAAACTGAAGCATGAAAACTAAGACAACCCACAAAAGAGCAGGATCAAAGCCTCTCAGATATACAAAACCACGCACGTTTATTGGCCCAAACAAATAGTTTTACACAAACTTCATAAGAAGTTGCTCGATAGTTAATCTAAGCAAGAACGTAGTGCTGAATTGATTTAAACCAAATAGAAAGATCGCATTACAATGACAACAAAGGGCTAGTAGTTCTTCATAAATTTTCATTTCTTTCCACTTTTCTTTAGCCCTGCACCTCCAAGTGCTCCCTTTTGAGCCTTCGATTTAAGCTCCTTCAGAGCCTATCAAACCAACACACAATCACAATAGATATAAATAACAGAAGTATGGGGATAAAATCAAAATATATAACTACGATACAATTTTTCAATAAAATAATATTACAAGTAAATCAAAAAAACTTTTCCTTCTTTTTTAACCTAATGTTCTCTAAAAAATTACTATTCCTCTCATTATAATGTGGAATAATGGGGGCCAAAAATGAGCTAGATCAGAAATAAATTCTACCTTCTCCTCTTCCTTCTTCTTCTGGATAAAAGCCTTGTCATTCTACAAAACCGCCAACATGTTTCAAATAATGAGGATTGAAGTAATATAGATAAGAAACTTAAGCACCAGGATGCCACACCAATCCACAAGAATTTTTCGGCAAAGAATGTAAGATTACAACAAACAAATGCTATTAGTTTTTGTTCTTTTTATTTTTCAAAAGTTGTGGTGGACAAAGTGGAATCATAGTTAACAAGTTAGAAGCATTAAAAATCTAACAAACAATAGAAGTCGTAATAACAAACTCTACCAATATGACAATGATAACAAATTAGGTTATGCAATTCAACAATATGGCTACATATAAGCATGGTTCCCTAAAACTACACATGCAATACAAGAGAGTTGTGGCAGGTTGAAAATCAATGTAAAGCTTTCTAGTCTTATTCCATGAACCTAGACACATTTCCTTGGGAAGTACCTCCCAACGATGTGCTGTATCTATCTATTTTTTCATAACTTTAGGTGATTTAAATTTTCTAGTTGATGTAACAAATAAGCAATGAACCCAAAAAGAGTGTTGACCACACTCAATCTGTGATTAGACCAACTTTAGAATTTTAAAAGAAATAAACCGACCCAAATCAGAAACTAAGCGGGAGGGAAAGATGCATTTTCTTGAGTTGCTGCTCATAGAGAGCCTTCCAAACCTCGAAGCTTATTGGTTGCCTTGATGTTTAAGATGTTTGGAATTTCATGTTCGATTCTGATGTTAATTATTTATTTAATTCAAAACCAAAAACCACATATTGGGTAGCCACTGAGACTCAAAATAAATAAGATAATATCAGCTTAAGTAAGCTCGAGGCTAAAGAAAATATCCATTATCAAGAAGACAAATCCTATTATTATACAAAAACAAGAAAAAGAAAAAAAGATAGATTAAGAAACAATAAATCAGAATTCACAGAACCCAAATATCGTTATTTTCCCTAACAGATGATGACTATGTGTTCAAATTAATTAATCGACAAAAAAATTTCATATGCGACCGAACACGTGATCCGAATTCAATATTCATTGCGGTAAACCCATACCTCGTCGTACTCTTTCTTCTCACTCTTTGGCGCCTTCAAAGGCTTCGCTTTCCCACCTGTTCATATTCCGAAGTGTAAAACACAAAATCAACGAACTTTTCACCTATTTTCACAAGATTGAAAAGAAAAACAAAAGCAACCCTAGCAAATCCAATAATTTCAAAAGATCACGGTACCTTGCTTTGAAGACATGTCTGAAATCTAGGGTTAGGGTTTCGCTTCGCTGTGATCACGAAATCGCTTGAACAATGAAAAGGTTACCCTAGCCCAATTGCGGTACAGTTTGGTAACTCCCAAATATATAGAGAGCAAGCGCCCGACAAAATTGAAAATAGAAAGGACAACCAACCATATTTTTTAAATATCTTTAATTATTATCACATTGCATTTTTAACTTTTTTTCTTTTTTTTTTTTTATCAAATTCTTATTTTAACATTTTATTAATCAAACAATCTTTTTCTTAACCATATTTTCATTCAAAAAAAATATTGTTAACGTGTTTTATAATGAGAATCAAATATTTAATCACATTTTTACATTATTATATGTTTTGCTTATTTAAAAATAAAATGGGCGAATAAGTCTTTTTATTTTATCTTAAAAAAAATTGAAAAAAGAAAAACTATAATCAAGTACAATTCATGATAATTTAAGAATAAAAATGCCATAAAAATTTTGAAACATAAATATGATAATGTGTAAAGGTTATAAACTTTTCGTACAATTAAAATGTAGTCCACTTATTAAAAATTGTAGTGTGAATATATTTAATCAAAGAAAAATATATAAAAATATATAAATATTTTCGTTTTACCCACGTATAAAATCTAAGCCATTTATCTACTTTTATCATTTATGTTATTAACTCCAGATTGGTAAATTTAAAAATCAAATTTTTAATAAATTTTGATAAAAATTACTGAAATGTATTGTTAAAAAATTGTGAATCTAATCAAATATGTAGCTAAAATTAATTAATTAATTAATTTGACTTAAATATTTATCAAGATTAAAAGTCTACAACATACATGAGCTAAATTTAATAATTTTCATTTCGTTTCGTCTTACTTCTCCAAAATCCTTGAAGAAGCGGGAAATGAGGAGAGACCAATTTATCATGGAAAAATTCCTTATATCGATTGAACCCTAAAATTTGCTTGTGATAATATACCTCGTGGCTAATATGATTTACGAGCTGCGATAAGTCGTTTATATGAACAAGGACTATTATGTGCCCGAATTAATAAAATTAGTAGACCAAACCAGTGCGTGCAATTGACTTATCCTAAGCTTAAGTTTTATTTTATTTTGCTAAAATTCTACTTTTCAAGAAATGAGCAGTCATAAGATTTTTGTGAACGTAGATATTGTAAATAGAAAGCACACTTGTACAATCCGCTGTTGTCTATTTAGTTTCACGCTCATAAAACTCATATCTAGTAGAATTTTAGCAAAATAAAATAAACTTAACTCTTATCTAGCTTTCATCACTAAAATTGACATTTCATTCTTGCAATTCTTTTCAATGGTGATGCTTGCTTTGGCTCCTCGTGAGCCGCTATTGATGAAGAATGCTGGTTGTTTTGGTGCTGGCAATTGCACAGCGTCATTTGTAAGCACAGAGGCACTTTTGTCATGGAGGGTCTATCTCGAGCATGATCTTGAACGCACAGCAAACCAACATTAATACATCTTGTGATTTCATCTTTAGGACTCGACTTATCCAGGGTTGAATCCAATGCCTATGAAGACAGAAAATTGTTTTGAAAAAAAAAAAAGTAAAAAGATATTTTAGGATTCGGTAAATAGAGACTCACAAATCCTATTAGGTTGAGTGGGAGTTCTGACTTTTGAGTGATAGCAGCTGTAAATTTTTTTGCCACTCACAATTTCAAGCAGTAAAACTCCAAAATTGAATGTCTATCGTCATTGACAAAATGCCTTCTACGGCATACTGAGGAGCCATATAATCACTGAAGCGATAGATCAAATTGTTAAGTGATATTTGAATATTATTGACATTTTCCAATTTATTACAGTATTGTTTACTTACTACTTTCCAACGAGTCTATTGGTGTTTGCTTCAGATTGTTGCACCCCAGGTATTCTTGCCAATCCAAAATCTGATATTTTTGGATTCAAGTCGTGATCAAGCAAGATGTTGCTGGGTTTCAAATCTCGATAAATCACCTTCAACCTTGAGCACTTGTGAAGGTGAAGTAGTCCTTGAGTGACTCCGATAATGTTCTTGTGCTTGGTCCAATTTATCAATTTTCTTCTGCTAGGATCTGCTCAAAAAAATGAAACGTGCTATCGATTATATTATTTTGTGACTGAAGAGAGATCATAAATAAATAGTCAAGTCTAGCTATAAGAATAAACCTACCAGAGAGGAAAAATAAAATCTAAGCCATCATACACTAAAATCTTTTCTTGACGTTGAATGCAGCATCCTAAAAGCCTAACAAGATTAGTATGTTGAAGTTTGGCTATCCGCAGTATCTCATTTTTGAACTCTGTCACTCCTTGTCCCGAGCTTCTTGAAAGTCTTTTTAGAGCTATCTTTCGTCCACCAGGTAATGTTCCCCGAAAAAAATGGCTAATCTTTAATATCTAAATTTAGGTTTCCTTAACCTTAAGGAATCGTTTGGCTAAAAACAAACCTTATGAACTGGCCCAAAGCCCCCCTCTCCGAGCTTATTTGCGGTGAAGAAATTGTTTGTAGCCATGGAAATGCTCTCAAGGCTGTAAAAGTTGAGTTGGCTTATCTTCTCGTCTATTTTATCACCTGATTTGCTGTATTTTTCAAAAGGAGTTATTGTGTCTTCCATACCATCTAGCAATGTTTGTTTTTTCACTTTCTCCATCCCTTGTGAACAAACACAAATGGAATATTCGTGCAGATAATTATATTTCTAAATGGTTCATGCAATCATCACAATCCAGTTTCAAACTTGGTACAAGTGCTCACCTTTTGCTCTGAGTTTCTATATACACAATAGCATATGATGCTGAATGTCATTAAGATTGTCCCACCTAGTGCAGTAATAAACCATTTCCACCAATTACTTTCTGTATCAAGAGAAAAGCATTATATTCTAGCAAATATAGAGCTTAAATTAGCATTTCCGGATTAGTAGTGAGACACGACTAACCTTTTCCCATAAGCAAGTAAATCTCCCTATCTGTCACAGGACCAGACGTGTAGAAACTCATTATCTTGGTCCAAATTTCACAACCAGTTCCATTTTTGGTGATTGAGGCATAAGCGACAAATGAATAATTGTGCATGCACTTGTCCTCACATTCAGTGAGGCTCATGTTGTAGTTGTTGCCAAATCTGTAACTATCACCACCTATGCTACCTATCTTATTATTGAATCCAAAATTAGCCTTCCTGCACTCGGGCAATGTCTTCTCCACACATCCTATATGTGGCTTCCCTGGGAGAGAACAATCCCCAAATGATTCTAATCCACTTCCCATCATGATGCCTGTGTGGGAGACGTTCTTATCTACTGAATAAATCATGTACTTTTTGTTCTCATTTGAAACGTAGAATAAGTTGACAAAATTTTCATAAGATAATTGGTGAGAATTGATGAAACGTCCTTCTCTCCAAAGCCTACTTTCCCATTGAACATTCGCCTGCTATCACATTATCAACTGTTTTGGGACATTTGGGTCTCCAACAATGGTAAATGATCCTGCGGCTGGTACTTCGCCACTTATCCAAGATATGAGAGACCACCTTTGCCCTGTTTTGAAATTGATACCGACTTTCATTCCAAGTAAAAGCGTGTCTGTAGGGTGGTAATCAAAGCTTTGCCACAAGAGTCGGTTTATAGAACTCTTCGAATTCATTTCCCTCTGTAAAAAATTGCCATCATCCAGCAGAGTAGCGCTTGCATTAATACTGGTAGCCGGGGCTGAATCCATAACGCTCGTAATATTGCCTTCCGTGGAAGTCAACTTCAGATTGCCATGTGTCGATCATAAGGCTCCCCGATGCATTAGCAATTGGACTATTGCGGTTCGCTATCCACGCCGCCTGCATATCATCGCCACAAAATATGCCTAAATATCGGTTCTTTGAGGTGCCGAGGCCGAACTCCGAAGAACCACAAAGACAAGAACTTACTTTCTGAACTGAGGGACTCCCAATCTCTGAGTGGCTGCTGTCCCTGTAAAATTGTCTCTCTATATGTTTCTGCGTAGATTGTAGGATTCACAAAGAAGTATAATAGAAAAATCGCAAGGAAGATTTTTGTTTCAATTGCATGAACTGATATTTTTGCATTTTGATACAAGATACTAGTACTTGCTCATGTAAAGACTATATGTACAGACAATAGGCAATGGATGAAGTCTAAAAATTGAAGCAAAATACAAATTCATCAAATTTAGTGTTCAAGGCGGTGGAAAACATTTTTATTCTCATAAAATATTGGTATGACCAGGAGATAAACGCACAATACAGTTTGTGGTTCCAAAATTACTATTTCCAAAGAATTGAAATGGACTCATGCAGCAAAAATCCAACCAAACTGTGATTCAAAACCACTTATCTTAGAAGGATCGATTTGTTTGAACAACAAATAAGTTTGCAGAAATTTAAAAGAACACAAGACAAACGATATGATTTTGTTCTAGAATAGGGCCGGATGTTTAGTCTTTCGACTTACTCACCGGTTGAGCATCTACCACAAGATTATACTCTAGATCCACTAATATCAACAAAAAATCAGTACAAATGTTTCGATTTCTTCAAGTCCTTTGTTGCCTCTCTATTATACAACGCCATAATAAAAAAACCTCACAATCTCAATGATTGCACAAAGCACTCAGAAACTCACGAAGAAAGAGACTGCACTCACAAAGAACTAATTACAGATTTACTCAAGAGACAAAAGAACCAAGAAACTCAAAAGTTTCACACCAAGTGAATAAGAAAAGGCGAGACCAAGTATATATCTGTCCAGCCAAAAAGTCACGATCCAAGGGTCATAAAACAGCCGCGTTGATGACAGATTTCAACCCTTCAAATGGAAGCAAAAGTGCAAAACCCAGAAAACACGATTTTATAAGGATGCAATTTTAACCAAATTTAAACATCAGGCCCAACTGCATATGACCCATCTGGCCAAGAATAATAGTGAGGCAGCCCAAAGTTTTAACACAAACTAATCACAAGTCGATTTCGGATTAGAATTCTGGAACCTTATGAATGTTCTTTATTTTGATTTGAAGTACTCGTTTCGTACTTTGTAATGCACCTTTGCTTTGCAAAACTGTTTAACAATGAGGTTGCTATAGCAAGTTAAAATTAATCGCTCGACATTGTGTTATATTGACTAAAGCAGGGACGGATTCAGGATTGGATCCACGACCGGGCTACAAAATTTCAAACTGGGCTACTACATGGAAAAAAAAATTTTTACACATAAAAAACTGATTTTTTACCCAAAAAAATAAAAAATACCTTAAAAAAAATTCTTGGACCTGGGGGGGCTACAGCCCAGTCCAGCCCCCCTATATCTATCTCTGGATTAAAGTAAACCGTATTGGTTATTGAGAGCTCTACGTGCCGTGTTTGGTTAAACAAGGTGGCTATTAACAAGATAAAAGTTACATTATATGCAAGTTCACATTTAATATCTTGCTACATGTACATCAATGTTTACATGATGGAGTACATAATGTCACGTGTCAGTTTAAAATACAATCAAATTTTTCATCCAATATTATCCCTCCATATCATTTGATGTTATTCCTCATGTATCATTTTTATGTACAGGCATAATCCTCACAGTATTCTTCTCGCACTTATCCAAAATATTTTATCAATTAGTTTTTCATCTTCTAGAATTATATGTGCCAAAGCCTTAAAAAAAATTTAATTACATCATTATAAATTAAAAAATTCGAGGAAAATCGAATGATGATGTAAATTTGAACGTGTATTTAATGAAAATCTATGACCTAGCAAAGACACCATTAAATTAACAAATTACATTATATTTGAATTAGGGTTAAGTTCTTGAACCTTTTACGTTGGGCAATTATGGGTCACCAACCTTCAAATGTGAAATTTTGAATCTTCAACATATCTAAATATACTAGTTATAGTTGAATGTCCATTGCACATTTTAAAATACTTTGTAAGTATTGTAAAACTGATATTTGATACCAATTTATTAGAAGAATTTGATGAGTCTCAAATGAACTAAAGAAAATAAAATTTAGGTTCGAAATTTAAGAGAAGAAAATTGTATTCTCAAAACTCAACTTTTATGATTTAAATTTTTTGTGATAATAAAATACTATAAATAAGTAATATTTTTATATTATATTTGATACATAAGGATTAATTGCTAATACATAAATTTAAACACCCATTAAAAATAATGTATTATTGAAATAATTGAATCATAGTAGGGTTAAAATCGTTTAAAACATAATTCTCACTTGATGTGATATTTAATATATTATAGATTAGTTTTAGTCCCACGTGATGAAAAAGTCAGTGTAGATATTAAAATCACACATTTAGTTGTAATGAGATAAAGGTTAAGTGATTTGATTTTTTAATATCCAGTTTTAAATCATGTGAAAATACCTTGGGATGTTAACAACACTTTTTACTTTTTCATCATGTAAGGACCTAACTTCACAGATTTAAATAAAATGAAGACACATATAACATACTATGTGAAATGTTGGGGATCAATCTTAATTTTCCTAAAACAAATATTTAAAAATTAAGTTTCACAAAAGAAGCCCAGTTCATGGTTTGTATTACCAAATCGAGTTAAATTTAAATGTAAATCAATCGATGATATATATGATAATTGAATCTTTACGTTAATGGGAGGCGAGTTTGTGCTAGAGATTATTCGTTAATGTAAGAAAATAACCTGCATTTTAACTATTTGATGAAATGCCACCAAGAAATTTCTCATCCTTACTCCTTAGTAACAATGCCCAGTATGGTATATTCAAGAGACACGTAGCCGCGGAAGTAAAACAACAAATACTTTTTAGTTGATACTTCCACACTAATAACAATTGTTTAGTTATCGATCAATATCGTTTACTTAGTTTTGAAGATTCTATCTACGTTTGCTTCAGATTGTTGAAACCCAAAAAAATTCTCGCTAGTCCAAAATCGCTGGCTTTCAAATCTCGATGAATCACATTCAACCTTGAATACTTGTGAAGGTAGAGTCATCCTTGAGAAACTCCTACAATGCTTATGCAATTGGTCCAACTTAGTAATTCTCTTCTATTAGGCATGTATCAGTATAATAAAATGTTTTCTCTTGCTTCAATGCAGCATCCTAAAGGCTTAACAAGATTAGTGTGTCGGACGGTTGGCGCTTGTTCAAAGCCTCTCAAAGATCCTTATATAGTTATCTCTTATCCTTGAAAATCTGGTTAGTCAATTATCTAAATTTATGCTACCTTAAAAGTTCCTGCATTAAAAAAACCTACCTTATAAACTGGTCCAAAGCCACCCTCTCCAACTTATTTGCAGCTGAGAAATTATTTGTAGCCATTGCTATGCTCTCAAAGCTGAAAAGGTGCACTGGATTCATCTTCTTATCCATTTTATTACTGGGATAGCTATATTTGCATCGAGGGGTGATCGAATCTCCCAGCTCAAATGGCAGCTTACGATTTCTCACTCTTTCTATAACTTGTAGACAAAACATTAAAAGTACATAAGATTTGGAGTTTGGACAGACATGGGAGCTTTGGATGGAAGGAAGAGTTCTCGAGATCATGGATTCAAGACTGGATGATTCATGCCCTGAGGAAGAGTTCTCGTCTTGTGAACTAATGCTTTCACAGATTTTAATGAATTTGTTGCAATTTCAAAATACTTTAGTTAAAATGTTTTGACTTTAACTTTGGCTTTTAAATTATAAGAAAATTATAAAGAATACCAAGCAAGCACTTTGTGCAAGACAACACGTGATCGTTGATCAAGTCTCCTTAACATTTTGAGAATAAAAGGTTATTTCATTATTAAGTGGATATCAATCGATTGACTCTAAAACCTTGCCCGTGGGCAATGCAAAACTGGCATATGGTGCATTTTGGCATAGCTTTACAACATTCACCTTACAGTTCTAGGTAGCATCCAGATTGAACATGACCGGAGAATGCCTCCCGCGCTTCCTTTTCTTCCCACTCGAGAGTTCTAGTATCTAATAAATAGGCTCTGTGAGGAGCTCCGAATCTTGGGGACCCAATCATCAACAATTTGTCTTGCCACCCTATCATGTACGCGGTATTTTGCAAATCGGACGGTAGCTCGGTTACAACTTTCCATGTAGAGCCTATGTGTACTAACACATCAGTAGATCGAGACATGTATAATTTTCCATCCCCACAATCCACGCAATGCCTTGGACACGTGCTAGCTTCCAAGTAGTTTTCGTGAACTGGGTCCCACTGCCAAGTGGAGATATCAAACCATTCAGCACTAGCCTCGAACCTACCCTGCATGTTTGTGGAGTACCCGCCGATGACATGGAATTTGCCAAGGTGGTAAATCCCTTTGGATTCATCGCGCTCTCTTGCCATGTCAGGTAAGTGGGTCCATTTATCATTTGTTACATCATATGCCATAGCTGATTTCAATGCGCATTTCTCGCTATCATGTCCACCCGCCACAAACACCATCCGATTAGAATCTGACCCACACGCGAAGAATGATCTTTGACAACCTGGCATGTCAGTCGCCCGTCGCCACGTCGCCGAAATAAAATTGTAAACATAAACCGCCTTGGAAACCTCCCAAGTGAACGGATTCAGCCCGCCTATCACCACCAGATTCATCCCCGCTCCAACAAGTTGGCAAAACATCGGTAGCCCATCGAAGTATCCGGGCACCGGAGGCAACTCAGTCCAATAACCCCCTTCTGGTTCAAAAACTGTAAGCCGGTAAACCGGTGTAGCCGAATACGTCATGGTTCCAAGCTTCTGCCTCGGATCAACCTGGGCTTGTGCCATCACGACGAGTTTTCGATTTGAGCCAGACTCTCTCCGGCGGCGCCAAAACTCCGGCAGCTCAATCTCATGCTTCCAAGTGCTGCAGACTGATGCAACAGAGGAGAAGTCCTGATAAGGTACCCTTATCAAACATTCAAGTCCTACATCATATGGAAGACAAGGAATAATCTCCATTTAACTGGGTTTTCTGTGTAACAAAAAAGAAAAGAGTGATTGATTCTTATACCAAGATGACCACAAGAAAAGACTGCAAATCAAATTGTGATGGGACCCTATAATTTCTGCTTTTCATGGATCAAAATGACGAGCTTTATCTTTACTAGGGATTCTGAAATTGCAAGTTGATCACGCTGAAAAAGGCTTGGACGAGTCTTCTAGAAGGACGGTTGATTTAAGATTTAAGGACAATAATGATCAGTTTTGTCTGTTGCTTTTTGCCTTTTCTTGAGAATATGGTGTGCTGCTCTTTATAGTGCATTTGAAATTGGGAGAATACTTCAAGCTTCTAGAAGAAAACTGACAAGGAAATGATCAGTCTATGTGTGACCATAGCATTTGCTGCCGTTTGATAACTTGTATTCGGGGCCTTTAACGGATTATTAAGAATAGTCTGTGCGTGACCACAGCATTTGCTGCCGTTCGTTAACTTGTATTTGGGGCAATTTAACAGATTTTTGAGTTAAGCAACAATATTAAAAACAAAGAATCATTGACTTTTATGTTCTTATCAATATTTTATGTAGTTTTAGATAGAATTGAGGCAATTCTGCACCTTTCATGGCCGGTCAAGCGGCCCTACTTAGTGCAATACTAAAACATGATTTTTATAAAGTTATTAACATGATATATCTTATATGTGCCTTCTCATATCCTTACTATTAAGATGATCTAATTAATTGATTAATTATGTTTAAATTAGGACTTAGTAATATTGATGTTAAATAAAATTATTCATTGATAAATTACCTTAAAATTAGAGATATATGTCCCATTTAAAATAATCTCATACGAATATACATAGACCGGTGACGTTGTGATACATTGAGTCAAGTTATTATAAATCTTGACTCTTGATTTAACTCCAAGTGAGGCAGTTCCTCCTTGCCCGACATATCTTGTGAAACCACTTAATCAATGAAAGTCTTGAAAGATATCATGAGTAGGAATAAACCATATGTACCGAAGGAGGGTTACCGAAGCGTGTCCCCCCCCTCACAAACACGTGGGCCCCACGTGTATTTAATAATGTCGAGCCGTGGTCCTCACCTTGATAATGTGAGTGGGGTGTAAACGATTGTGTAAATGATTATGTACGTGTAGCACGGTCCTCATGGGTATAAGGTTCATCAATGGTGCCAGTGGGAGAAGGAAGAGCTGCACATGATATTTTACCTCATACAGGTCCTCATTTAATTCTTTCGAATTCATTGGATCATTTTCGCATATGAAAATTTCCCCTCTTCTTCCACTATACCCTATAGAGTAATTAGGATCATTTTAGTCATGTTTTCATGTTCGAATTGAATCTCCATTCCCTTTTATATCAATAGGAAGTTCATCCATCCTTCCTATCACATTCTGACGGTTTATAGCATCTATAGTGTTAGTGATACTATATATCATTATTTATTGATATGCAATTGGACCGTCTTATTTTAAATTATATTAATATTAAATAACACTTGCACTAGATAACATTATTTAGCGTGTACCGTTCGCTTATTCCTATTTGAGGCCTTTGACAGATATTTGAGTTAAAGCAAGAATATTAAAAACAAAAATTTATTGACTTCAAGTTCTTGATAATTTATGGATGGAATTGAGGCAATTCTGCACCACTAATGGGGTGGTCAAGTGGCCCTACTTTGCGTAGACCAATGACTTGATTATTAAAAAAAAAAAAAAAAGGGGTTGAACCTCAACTTTGAGGGTTCCCACCGTCCCGTTTATAGAATTTTGTGAGGGAGGTAAATCGCGGGATGTGCTCCCAACAAATCAGGGACCAAGAGCTGCATGTACACTGCGTCTACAAGGAGTTTAATTTCATGTCTCAAGAATCGAATCCTCACACTGCGGCTGCCAACAAGACATGAGATAACCTCACTCCTAATATGCAAGTGGTGTTTTATTTGATAGTTTAATATATATATATATATATATATCTTAAAATGTTGATTACGTTTTTTAGTTAAAGTCTTAATAAATTAATATTTTTAATAAATAAATAATGATGAGATTTGAAGATAAGATCTTCGTTTCTTCTTATGTCGTATTACAATTGATGTATGCCAGTTAAAGGGCAAAAGGGATTGGTCCATGGACAACTCAACCACGTTTTAGACAAGCTATACGCCAGGTCGACCACTTTTTCCACCCGTCGAGCTCATTAGAATTTGTGGATCTGTTCGTTTTTTCACCCTTTTGGCTTAATTTATTAATTTCTTTAAAAATATTCTTTACTTGTTTTTTGACTTATTTTGTTAATTATTTTTTTAAAAAAGCAAGCCAGTTTGTGGTGGCTTCGGCCGATGAGGCCCACAAGCCGAAAGGGCAATCTGAGCCTAGGATTTGAATGTGATTTGAACTTGAGTGTTTGGGAGTCCAATCGAGCCGATTTGGTCAATTGTCATCCCCCACCTCACCTTATTTTGGATAATTGCAAGCTTATTTGATAACGTTTTGATTTGATCCATTGTTTTCCTAATGCCACCTCACCTGTTTGGACAATATCTTAATTGATAATGTTTTCTAATTAAAGCAATACATTTAGCAATTAATTATTTCGTTAGTGCTTATAGTGACGAGTAAACCCACAATTAAAAGCTAAGAATAACAAAATAAAAAACAAAGGTTGTATTATAGTATTAGCAACTGGGAAATGATCCTGTTTCGTGAGGGTTATAATCTAATTTTTAGTAAATTTTGATTAAAAAAAATGATGAAAAAATGTGGTTTTAATGAATTTTGATAAAAATTGAAGAAATGTGTGTTTGAAAAGTTGTGAATCTCATAAAATGTTTGGCTAAATTAATTATCAATTTTAACTTAAATTAAAATTTAGTTTTAATTTTCACAAAACATGGACAATGTAAAAGAGATGAAGATTATATTAATATATAATTATGTTATACCTTTGTATTTTTACTATATTACAAGAAAATCAATTTCAATACAAATTTTACATGACAAATTACGAGATCATGTTGCTGAAAATTACGTTCAACATCAAGACGAAAATATATTTGTATATAAACTCAAATGGTATTTTCTAAAATTTATCTTGAATACAATGTCAAAATATTTTAAATAAAAAAACATAAGTCTAAGCCCCGTTTGATCCCATTATGTGAGTGGGGTGTAAACGATTGTGTAAATGATTATGTACGTGTAGCACGGTCCTCATGGGTATAAGGTTCATCAATGGTGCCAGTGGGAGAAGGAAGAGCTGCACATGATATTTTACCTCATACAGGTCCTCATTTAATTCTTTCGAATTCATTGGATCATTTTCGCATATGAAAATTTCCCCTCTTCTTCCACTATACCCTATAGAGTAATTAGGATCATTTTAGTCATGTTTTCATGTTCGAATTGAATCTCCATTCCCTTTTATATCAATAGGAAGTTCATCCATCCTTCCTATCACATTCTGACGGTTTATAGCATCTATAGTGTTAGTGATACTATATATCATTATTTATTGATATGCAATTGGACCGTCTTATTTTAAATTATATTAATATTAAATAACACTTGCACTAGATAACATTATTTAGCGTGTACCGTTCGCTTATTCCTATTTGAGGCCTTTGACAGATATTTGAGTTAAAGCAAGAATATTAAAAACAAAAATTTATTGACTTCAAGTTCTTGATAATTTATGGATGGAATTGAGGCAATTCTGCACCACTAATGGGGTGGTCAAGTGGCCCTACTTTGCGTAGACCAATGACTTGATTATTAAAAAAAAAAAAAGGGGGTTGAACCCCAACTTTGAAAGTTCCCACCGTCCCGTTTATAGAATTTTGTGAGGGAGGTAAATCGCGGGATGTGCTTCCAACAAATCAGGGACCAAGAGCTGCATGTACACTGCGTCTACAAGGAGTTTAATTTCATGTCTCAAGAATCGAATCCTCACACTGCGGCTGCCAACAAGACATGAGATAACCTCACTCCTAATATGCAAGTGGTGTTTTATTTGATAGTTTAATATATATATATATATATATATCTTAAAATGTTGATTACGTTTTTTAGTTAAAGTCTTAATAAATTAATATTTTTAATAAATAAATAATGATGAGATTTGAAGATAAGATCTTCGTTTCTTCTTATGTCGTATTACAATTGATGTATGCCAGTTAAAGGGCAAAAGGGATTGGTCCATGGACAACTCAACCACGTTTTAGACAAGCTATAGGCCAGGTCGACCACTTTTTCCACCCGTCGAGCTCATTAGAATTTGTGGATCTGTTCGTTTTTTCTCCCTTTTGGCTTAATTTATTAATTTCTTTAAAAATATTCTTTACTTGTTTTTTGACTTATTTTGATAATTATTTTTTTAAAAAGCAAGCCAGTTTGTGGTGGCTTCGGCCGATGAGGCCCACAAGCCGAAAGGGCAATCTGAGCCTAGGATTTGAATGTGATTTGAACTTGAGTGTTTGGGAGTCCAATCGAGCCGATTTGGTCAATTGTCATCCCCCACCTCACCTTATTTTGGATAATTGCAAGCTTATTTGATAACGTTTTGATTTGATCCATTGTTTTCCTAATGCCACCTCACCTGTTTGGACAATATCTTAATTGATAATGTTTTCTAATTAAAGCAATACATTTAGCAATTAATTATTTCGTTAGTGCTTATAGTGACGAGTAAACCCACAATTAAAAGCTAAGTATAACAAAATAAAAAACAAAGGTTGTATTATAGTATTAGCAACTGGGAAATGATCCTGTTTCGTGAGGGTTATAATCTAATTTTTAGTAAATTTTGATTAAAAAAAATGATGAAAAAATGTGGTTTTAATGAATTTTGATAAAAATTGAAGAAATGTGTGTTTGAAAAGTTGTGAATCTCATAAAATGTTTGGCTAAATTAATTATCAATTTTAACTTAAATTAAAATTTAGTTTTAATTTTCACAAAACATGGACAATGTAAAAGAGATGAAGATTATATTAATATATAATTATGTTATACCTTTGTATTTTTACTATATTACAAGAAAATCAATTTCAATACAAATTTTACATGACAAATTACGAGATCATGTTGCTGAAAATTACGTTCAACATCAAGACGAAAATATATTTGTATATAAACTCAAATGGTATTTTCTAAAATTTATCTTGAATACAATGTCAAAATATTTTAAATAAAAAAACATAAGTCTAAGCCCCGTTTGATCCCATTCTCCTTCTCATTCTTTTTTTCTCTTTTATTTTCAATTAAACAATCTTTCATAAAATAATATTTCATACAAATTAAAAATTTTTCATTTTTTTTCAATTACACATTATTTAAAAAAAACTATTTTAACTATTAAAATTTGAAAAGAATGAAAACAAATGGGGAGTAAAAAAAAATTAAAATAACGTTAACAAATAATCAATAAATTATTCAAAAAACTAAAAGAAGTGTTCCATTAGCACTTGTTTGAACCCATTTATTCTACCAAAATACATTTTTTAACATTAATTTGACAATATTTTAATCACATATTTTACAATAAAATAATATTATAAATAAATAAAAAAAATTTCTTTATTTTTTGACCACATATTTATCATCAATAGGCTATTCAAAAATTCTTTTTCTCCACAAAAATTGGGCTCAAACAGCGATAATTTAATTAAGTCCACGTTTTTGCATTAACCCTAAGATCGCATCTGCACATTGCAGAAATCAAATTGCATTCCATTTTACGTTTATAAGCTCTGATTGTTGGTGAAATCTCATTATTCTTCTGCGAATTGAGAATTTCGAAAATTTTAAACGCCTCAACCGCTGTCAAACGTGTAATATTGAATTCAGGTATTAATTTATTTACGTTGATACTAAATTCCTTTCAGCAGAATTAATTGGGAATGTTTAATTAATTTAAATTTCGGGTTTCCAAAATATAGAGGGTAATTGTTGGTGCACTCTTTTTGTATTTAGTAGTTTGTGCGTTATAGTTGTATACACAATTGAATTATAATGTCGGAGTTAAAAACAAGTCCTGATGATAAGACTGGGAAGAAACGGAATTTACCCTCATGGATGAGTTCCAGAGGTGAGGAAAACGATGATGACGAAAACACTAAGCAAGCAAGAATTCATAGCAAAGGAAAGAAGGATCAAAATGCCCTTCACACTCAACCCGGACATCAAGAAGAGTCTTCTTCAGTTGCCTATTCTGGTGCCACAACTTTCTCGAAGCTGATGGTATTATAGCAGTTCACTTTGGCATTGACCCATTTTCTTTAAGTTCTCATTTAAAAATTAATTTGTGATATTGATTGAGTGTAGGAAGGGGTGGTATTTGTGCTGTCAGGAGTTGTGAATCCTGAGCGAGGTGTTTTGCGATCACAGATGTTGGAAATGGGAGCAGACTATCAGCCTGATTGGAACTCGAAATGCACTCTCTTAATATGTGCATTTCCCAACACCCCTAAGTTCCGCCAAGTTGAGGCTGATTGTGGAACTATAGTTTCCAAGGTTGAACACTCTCTGCACTGAAGTAAAATTAGTTATATCAATCTTTTTTTGCCTTTTTTACTTGCCAGGAAGATTTCATTTTATTTTGTTACTTGTAACTATGATCTTATAATTTTTAATAATTTAGAGTTTCTTTTGCTTTGGTTCACCATTTCATTGATTGCGTTGACTGATTAAGCTTATATATAAGCCCTGTATTTGTGCAAATATCACTTCTTCATATTGCCTTTGACTAAAAATTTGCAAGCGACAGGTAAAAAAATGGTTGTATTAGTTTCGGACGCTAAATGCCTTGAGAAACTTTTTGGCCAACTTATATCTGTTATCTTGATGCACTTAACAGTCTATTAGAATATGAAAGTCAATTGTTGTATGTATATGTCTATCTGTTGCTAATCTGCCCTTTTTTCCCTATTTTTTTGGACCATTAGTTTTGGGATGCTCTCATTGAGTCTTGTAAACACCAGTGAAAATTTTCAGATAGACACGCTTTCTTATTCGATTGTGGTACATTTACATAATGGTGTACATAATGATGTACGTAATGGTTACATGAGAGAGAGAGAGAGAGTTGGAAAGAAAAGAAATTCAGTTATTTTTTTCTCTCTCTTCCACTTCACTATTATGTACAAATAGCATTCTCCTTTTGTATTTACCCAGAGATGCTCCGCTTCTATCTGGAATAGCTTTATATGATCCAATTTCATTTTATTTGTGCCCATGGTCTTGTTCCTCTAAGTCACGATGCTGCTGCTTTTTTCAAGGCGTGATTTGCATTCAGATGCCATTCGCTTCTCCCAGTTTTTTTAACCTATTGGATAGTTGAGAGTGATAGTTCTCTATTCATAGCCCTGCATCTGTTAGCGTGTTTGCAAAAAATCCATTTTTTGTTAGATCTAGATTTCTACTTTTCGATGTTATAGGATCAAGATGTCATCATCCCTTTCCTTTTAGTTATTTCAATAATTTTGCTTTTGTGATTGAGCCTTTATTACCTGTGCCAGAGGGGGCAATCTATACATACGGAAATTTTGATCAGATTATCAAACCATAAACTGAAACTACCAATCCGAAGACATGTCAAATGGTGAAAATATAAATAAAATGTTTTAATGCTTTTCCCTACATATACGCCTGTATTTTCTATCCTAAGAAGTTTGGACATTGAAAGGAAGATTATCTAGCATAACACTGTTTTTTAGAAGGTTTGGACAGTCTTTTGTAAGTTTAGGTACACTATTTCACTTTACACGGTTACCTTGATTCAGTGATCCTAGTTCAATTTGCTACCTGGAGCTAGTTTTGATTTTCTTGCAAATCTCTTTTGAAAGGACTTAATATCTATTTGAGCTTGAATGTGTGTGGAAGGACGTTGTCGTAGTTAACCATCATGTTAACTTGAAATTTTGTTGGTGTCTAATTTTGGTTCCGTTACGATTCTATGTGATTTTAATTTGCATCACCGCCCTCATTTTCCTCTCTCTTTATGCAAATTCTTCCTTGTTCCTAGTATTATATCTCTTTGAAACAGTTTCTTCTTTAAATAATTAGATGTTCCTATAGTGTTGCCTATTGCCTAATGTCTTTTTTGGCTAGTAAAGATGACCTAATATGTGATTTTACCGTATTATTCTATGAATTTTGAATTGTCCAGAGCTGTTTAATCATTGTCATTAATGTAATTGATATTTTCTGAGAGCTTTTACTAGTACATTTCAGTAGTTTTTTTTTAACCCTAATGTCGCATCTGTTCCATTCTATTTCTGATTCATCTCTTTCTTGATCGAGGTGTTTCTGATCAGTCTCTCTCTGCTTATTTCTCTCTTCATTCCTGCGTCTTCAATCCATCCTGGTGCAGAAGTATGAAATCAGTTCTTTTCTAATTGCATTCTTTTGGCATAGGATTGGGTATCACTGTGTTACGACCAGAGAAAACTTGTTGATATTGAAACATATCTTCTGCATGCTGGTAAACCATGGAAGAGAAAAGGCGTACTTGATGAAGCTAGGCAAGGTCTCTCTCCGTTTTATGTGCTATTATCTATGATTCTATATTTTGGGGCTTCTCATCAATTTTGATACTTTTGCTGAAGTCCAAATGGTTTATCTCGTAAAAGTAATTAGTCTATGTTTGACTCATGTTTATAAACATTCAAGTCACTTTTTATCCACACATTTCGAGAGATCCACAAATACAACCATGGAAGAGAAAAGGCGTACTTGATGAAGCTAGGCAAGGTCTCTCTCCGTTTTATGTGCTATTATCTATGATTCTATATTTTGGGGCTTCTCATCAATTTTGATACTTTTGCTGAAGTCCAAATGGTTTATCTCGTAAAAGTAATTAGTCTATGTTTGACTCATGTTTATAAACATTCAAGTCACTTTTTATCCACACATTTCGAGAGATCCACAAATAATATACACTTATCCATCACTCATTTCTATCTATTTATAATTAAAACCGTTCACAAACAGTTTCCCAAACATACTCTTAATTATTGAGATGATCTATCCCATTGCTTCCTGGAGCCTATCTGAACCATAATTCAATTAACACTTGCAGATACAAGACAATCTACATCTAGAAAATCTACGATACCAGAAGAGAAGAAACTACATTCAAACCCAACGACTTCTGCTTCATCCAAGGTACCATTTTCTAGTTTACAATGCCTGTGAACTGTTCCTCAATCGTATACCTTGAATACTTTATTGGCCTGTCAAAAGTGTCATCTGGTGCAGCCATGATGATTGAACTGAAAATACGAGGTTCAACTGTGTCACCATTTTAGCATCTCTAAGAGAGCTCTATAGATCAGATTATGGGGTCTCCCTTAATCAATGGCTTAAATTAAGCAGTTTCACATAAATTCAGTCACATATGAGATGGTGTTTACTTCTAAGCAGATTACAGATTGTTTTCCTCCTTCGGAAGTGAAGAAATGGGCTATTGAGGATTTAACGAAAACAATATCATGGCTGGAAAATCAAGAAGAAAAGGTAGCCTGCAATTTCCCATTAGTTACAATCAATTTATCCACGATCTTTAGCCATGTGACATATGCTTGACGTTGGTTTTGTTGCTTCTGTTTCTTAAGTTCACCTAAATTGGATTCTATGTTCTCCTTTATGTAAGTATTATTTTCTTCAATGCCTCGATTTATTATATTTTTTGGTTTTGTTTTACAGCCAGAGCTGAGTGAAATTAAGAAAATAGCTAGTGAAGGGATCCTAACATGTTTACAGGATGCCATAGAGTCTCTCAAGCAAGGACAGGTAGATTTTTTGGCGCTTATTGTTATTGATACTGGAGATTCATTTCTATTCATTATTGTTAAATGTACTTCCAAAGAGAATTTTTCCAGATTGCCATCAGAGCATGGGAGTGTATATGGTTTACAAGTAAAATATTCATACCCATCTATTCTATTCCATTACAGTGTCGTTCAATTTGTTGGTCTTCTGTTCATTTGAGTCTTAAAGCATGATTGATATGGATATGGAATCAAGTCCAGATATATATATTGATACTGTCCCTAGTAAATGATTCTTTCTTAATGTTCTTTATCTGGGGCATAGAGAGCTAGTCAAATCGGGTTCAAGTTCCTTCAAGATTGGAAAAGTGAAAGTTTCATCCAGCAATTTGAAGTGCAAGTTCCATTACATGCTTATATGCTTTTAGAGCCAAATCCTTTTGACGGGTCATCTACTTGTGCTCCACGTATCAAAAGCTAGCTATTTCACTCTTTTGTGGATATCATACTAACTCTAGTCCCTGAATGGTTTAGATAAAAGTTAGATTTTTGTAGGTATCGATAAAAGTTGATGGTATGTGTGGGTTTAAAGTTTGGGTCCATGAAATGTGTGGTTATAATTAATTGTTGAATGGGAAAAATCATGTTTTGAATAGTGATTTAGAGGAGAATGTGTTGTTAAAAAGTAGTCAAAAATTTTGAGTTTTATTTTGTGAATGTATGGTTGAAAATGAGTATATAGAAAAAAGAGTTTGAAAATAATGGTTGTCAAACAGGGTTTAATTGTGTTGCATATTTATGAATTAATTAATAATTTTATATTTTGCTAGTCTGTTTTGATTAAGCTTAGGTGCTGAAGTGTGACTATTTGATTTCGTGCATGATTTTTTTCCTTCCATAGGATATTCAGCATATAGCGGAGCAATGGGCATGCATTCCTCGGGTGGTTGAGGAAATAGCCAAGTTTGATGACAACTGTGGTGATCAGGATTCACTTCATAAGGAAGATTTGCAGAGACAGGCAATCTCTTGTAAACAAATTTACGAGCTGGAATATAGCAAAATGGATGATGACATATCCATAAAGAAGAAAACATCAAAAACTAAGAGAAGTGAAAGTGGCAATATGAAGAAGACTCTGGTCAGGGATGATACAGCTTATGATAGTGATGAAACAGTTGAAATGACAGAAGAAGAAATAGACGAAGCTTATAATACAGTTGCTCGTGTCTTTGCAAATGCCAAGGAAGTCTCACCGTAGACATTGCATTTTTGTCCTTTCCTTGTTATCGCTCTGTTCCCATCTGTTTTCACAATGCACGGAAAATCGAAATGTTGTTAGCTGAATCTGAGTAGGATGATTAGTACATGAATTTCGCTCTTCGGCTTATTTCTCCTTTTCTTGTAATTTTTTCCCGTACCCTCGGTATTCTGATCATGGAAAATTGAAGGTTAACAGTGAACTGATAATTTTCATTTTGGGGCGTGAATCCCTTTCTTAGTGCCAGCATTTGAGCTCACACAAAGGTCATGACTGCACTTCTTGCATAGTCACATAGAACGTGAACGGCATGTTTGAGAAGGTGAATTAGACCATTCATTGAATTGTTTAATTTTATCTAGTAATGTGTTTCAAATATCCCATTCAATATCATCTTTTAACATAACCATTTTTGAATACGCCTATTACGTATTTCATCGTTCCACCGGAAATTTCCCTTGCTCCTATAGTACTCTAGCTTGATAGTTTTCGCCACTTGTCCAGGGTCGATATTAGATATTGATTAGTTTATATATGAACTAAAGATATATTTCATTTTCTCTACCACTATATGTGGAATTTAATAGAAGTCTTTCCATACTTGTCCAACCCATTGTGTTGGACAAGTTGGTCAACTATATTGTTCAATTCTCTTGATTCTTCTAACTCACCGAGTCGATAAAAATAGAGAATTTTTAATAAAACATATTGATTTACAAATATAAATATAGAATTAAGGCCTGATATCACAATATTATTATGAAAGATATTATTTAACTCAAAGTAATACATTTACGCATAAATAGACAATTAATTTAATCATCTACTATAATTAAAGTTATGAAAATAAGATCAACCAAACTCGTGCAAGATTATAAGATTAGTAAATTATAAATTCTAATTAATAAACTTAATTATTATAATTATATTTAGTAATATAGAATTAAGTTCTAAATATATTGATAGAAATGTAAATATTATAGAAAAGCTAAAGCTTAATGGGTCGATCTATGTCGGTTGAAGTTGGATCAGATCACATAGATCTATCCTTTGTTGGAACAATTGTATTCTGTAGATAGGATTGCAAAAGACACTATCAAACAACAATCAAACCTAATCATCGATTTAGTCTACTTGGACCTTCTATATTTTGATTTTGCATTAAGTAATGATTTAGAGCATATTTGACCCTTATTAAAAGTTAGATTTTTGTAGGTATCGATAAAAGTTGATGGTATGTGTGGGTTTAAAGTTTGGGTCCATGAAATGTGTGGTTATAATTAATTGTTGAATGGGAAAAATCATGTTTTGAATAGTGATTTAGTTAGAGCATATTTGACCCTTATTTTTTTTGTGCCAAAAATGCATTTTTGAGTAGTAATTTGATGGAGAATGTATAATTAAAAAACAAAGAAAAAAGTTTTGAATTTGCATATAATATAATTTTATTGAAAAATGTATGATTGAAAATAAGAGAGAAAAAAATGTATTTTGAAGAAAATGGAGACCAAACAAGAGCTTAGTTTAGATTTTGATACTTAGTTTAGATCTTTAAAAATGAATATAACACTATATATATCTCTCTTCTTCAACGAGGAGAATGTGTTGTTAAAAAGTAGTCAAAAATTTTGAGTTTTATTTTGTGAATGTATGGTTGAAAATGAGTATATAGAAAAAAGAGTTTGAAAATAATGGTTGTCAAACAGGGTTTAATTGTGTTGCATATTTATGAATTAATTAATAATTTTATATTTTGCTAGTCTGTTTTGATTAAGCTTAGGTGCTGAAGTGTGACTATTTGATTTCGTGCATGATTTTTTTCCTTCCATAGGATATTCAGCATATAGCGGAGCAATGGGCATGCATTCCTCGGGTGGTTGAGGAAATAGCCAAGTTTGATGACAACTGTGGTGATCAGGATTCACTTCATAAGGAAGATTTGCAGAGACAGGCAATCTCTTGTAAACAAATTTACGAGCTGGAATATAGCAAAATGGATGATGACATATCCATAAAGAAGAAAACATCAAAAACTAAGAGAAGTGAAAGTGGCAATATGAAGAAGACTCTGGTCAGGGATGATACAGCTTATGATAGTGATGAAACAGTTGAAATGACAGAAGAAGAAATAGACGAAGCTTATAATACAGTTGCTCGTGTCTTTGCAAATGCCAAGGAAGTCTCACCGTAGACATTGCATTTTTGTCCTTTCCTTGTTATCGCTCTGTTCCCATCTGTTTTCACAATGCACGGAAAATCGAAATGTTGTTAGCTGAATCTGAGTAGGATGATTAGTACATGAATTTCGCTCTTCGGCTTATTTCTCCTTTTCTTGTAATTTTTTCCCGTACCCTCGGTATTCTGATCATGGAAAATTGAAGGTTAACACTGAACTGATAATTTTCATTTTGGGGTGTGAATCCCTTTCTTAGTGCCAGCATTTGAGCTCACACAAAGGTCATGACTGCACTTCTTGCATAGTCACATAGAACGTGAACGGCATGTTTGAGAAGGTGAATTAGACCATTCATTGAATTGTTTAATTTTATCTAGTAATGTGTTTCAAATATCCCATTCAATATCATCTTTTAACATAACCATTTTTGAATACGCCTATTACGTATTTCATCGTTCCACCGGAAATTTCCCTTGCTCCTATAGTACTCTAGCTTGATAGTTTTCGCCACTTGTCCAGGGTCGATATTAGATATTGATTAGTTTATATATGAACTAAAGATATATTTCATTTTCTCTACCACTATATGTGGAATTTAATAGAAGTCTTTCCATATTTGTCCAACCCATTGTGTTGGACAAGTTGGTCGACTATATTGTTCAATTTTCTTGATTCTTCTAACTCACCGAGTCAATAAAAATAGAGAATTTTTAATAAAACATATTGATTTACAAATATAAATATAGAATTAAGGCCTGATATCACAATATTATTATGAAAGATATTATTTAACTCAAAGTAATACATTTACGCATAAATAGACAATTAATTTAATCATCTACTATAATTAAAGTTATGAAAATAAGATCAACCAAACTCGTGCAAGATTATAAGATTAGTAAATTATAAATTCTAATTAATAAACTTAATTATTATAATTATATTTAGTAATATAGAATTAAGTTCTAAATATATTGATAGAAATGTAAATATTATAGAAAAGCTAAAGCTTAATGGGTCGCTCTATGTCGGTTGAAGTTGGATCAGATCACATAGATCTATCCTTTGTTGGAACAATTGTATTCTGTAGATAGGATTGCAAAAGACACTATCAAACAACAATCAAACCTAATCATCGATTTAGTCTACTTGGACCTTCTATATTTTGATTTTGCATTAAGTAATGATTTAGAGCATATTTGACCCTTATTTTTTTTGTGCCAAAAATGCATTTTTGAGTAGTAATTTGATGGAGAATGTATAATTAAAAAATAAAGAAAAAAGTTTTGAATTTGCATATAATATAATTTTATTGAAAAATGTATGATTGAAAATAGGAGAGAAAAAAAATGTATTTTGAAGAAAATGGAGACCTAACAAGAGCTTAGTTTAGATTTTGATACTTAGTTTAGACCTTTAAAAATGAATATAATACTATATATATCTCTCTTCTTCAATCGACAGTATAAATTATAAAAAAATCATATCTACAACCTTTTTATCTGGTATTAGTTGAACTTTGTATTATTTTTATAGCTTTAAACTTGTATTGATATTAATATATTGTAAAGTTTATGTTTATAAAATTTCAATTTAAGTATTCTGTGAGATTTTAAATCAATATTTTTGTTTTAACTTGTTCGAAAAATTACTTTTATGTCACTAAAATTAATTTGATTTAGTTTAAAAATAAGTTGAAAATAACTCTAACTATTCATTTTTATCTAATACATATTAGCTCCTATTGACATCTTTTTTTTTATGGACGAAATGTGTTTTTGAATAAAATGTTTGAAAAATGTATTGTTAAAAAATAGGAAAAAAGTTTTTAATTTATATTTAAAATTAATTTATGGGAGAATATATGGTTGAAAATGAATTTTGAAAAAAATGAGGTTCAAAGAGAAGCTTACTGAAACACGTTCCCAAAATAAAGCAAAATCGCATTATGGATAAAACGCCTCATTGAATACGATGTTAAAAAATGCGACTTTTATGGATACGAGCGAAGGACAAAATAACTTCAGCAGCACTTGACTTTTTTAAGTTCTCACCCTTTTTTATTATATTTGACCCTTATTTTTTTTGTGCCAAAAATGCATTTTTGAGTAGTAATTTGATGGAGAATGTATAATTAAAAAACAAAGAAAAAAGTTTTGAATTTGCATATAATATAATTTTATTGAAAAATGTATGATTGAAAATAAGAGAGAAAAAAATGTATTTTGAAGAAAATGGAGACCAAACAAGAGCTTAGTTTAGATTTTGATACTTAGTTTAGATCTTTAAAAATGAATATAACACTATATATATCTCTCTTCTTCAACCGACAGTATAAATTATAAAAAAATCATATCTACAACCTTTTTATCTGGTATTAGTTGAACTTTGTATTATTTTTATAGCTTTAAACTTGTATTGATATTAATATATTGTAAAGTTTATGTTTATAAAATTTCAATTTAAGTATTCTGTGAGATTTTAAATCAATATTTTTGTTTTAACTTGTTCGAAAAATTACTTTTATGTCACTAAAATTAATTTGATTTAGTTTAAAAATAAGTTGAAAATAACTCTAACTATTCATTTTTATCTGATACATATTAGCTCCTATTGACATCTTTTTTTTTTATGGATGAAATGTGTTTTTGAATAAAATGTTTGAAAAATGTATTGTTAAAAAATAGGAAAAAAGTTTTTAATTTATATTTAAAATTAATTTATGGGAGAATATATGGTTGAAAATGAATTTTGATAAAAATGAGGTTCAAAGAGAAGCTTACTGAAACACGTTCCCAAAATAAAGCAAAATCGCATTATGGATAAAACGCCTCATTGAATATGATGTTAAAAAATGCGACTTTTATGGATACAAGCGAAGGACAAAATAACTTCAGCAGCACTTGACTTTATTAAGTTCTCACCCTTTTTTATCTCTCTTTCTGTAGGGTTGCAGCAGATAAACGCCACCCCAAATTCTGCCGCACTCCGCTTCTCTCCGCCGCCGCTAACTACCGTCCCTTTCTCTTACAAATCAAT